AAGAGAAATGAAAATAAAAAGTCAAAATGTGGCGTTAATTTTGAAACAGGATGTTTTGAAACGCTGTTTTGTTTAGTCATTTCGCTGGATTTCGTTTTTCAAAAATGCCCTTTTTAAAAAAGGTATAAAGACCATAACCTGGAAAAAACTGAACAAACATTTCAGTTTCCGGTTGACTCGAGGCATTTTCCCCGGATCTTTCACTTGGCTCGTTGCCTAGTTGATGCTTCGCTCAGCTCCTTTTCTAACAGATGCTGAGATTCGGCAGAGAGCTCACCCACCCCGGACTCTTGGAAGTTATCCAGAAAAGAGAAGAGACTGTGTGTGAAGAAGGAAGCCAGAGCGTCTGCCATGGCAGGGGCATACCCGGGGCCGAGCGAGAGACTCCCTCTCTGGAGCTGTGCTTAGAGGGAAAACTTACGGGACTAGCGCAGAGGATGTGCAAAGAGCAACCCAGGCTAGAGAGGGACGGCGGAGCCCTGTCCTTGCCCTAAGAGAGTCTGACTGCGTGGGAAGGATTCGGATTTAATAAATAAAACTAAGTATGGTTTAAACCTCCTTTGTCTTCACCTGCATTGCAGAGCAGAAAAGCAACCAGCAGGTAACACGGCCTGACCATCCAGCGGAAAGGGCTGGATAATGTCTCAGGGCAGGATGTCCCCGCGGGCGATGGGAGCAAGTGCTGCCTCGTGGGCTGAGTGATGGGGACGAGCAGGGACCAAACTGCAGTCGAGAGCCTCCTCAAACCCAGGGCCGGCTCCAGCTTTCCTGCTGCCCCAAGCGGCAAAAAAGGAAAAAAAAAAGAAAAGAAGACGAGGGGTGGCACTGCTCTTTGGCGGCAGCTCAAAGAGGAAGAGAGGGAATGAGGGACCCGCCGCCAAATTGCCGCCGAAGACCCGGACGTGCCGCCCCGATACCGGACGGAGTGCCGCCCCTTTGAATTGGCCGCCCCAAGCACCTGCTTCCTACGCTGGTGCCTGGAGCCGGCCCTACTCAAACCAGCATCCCCATCCAAGGTCTGGGGAGTCGGTGCAGTCCCCTGGAGAGCCCCCAGACCAGACTTACCCCGGTGTCGCTCCGCTGGGATGTGCGTGGCCCAGGTGCCCTGGGATCACCGTTTGATGGGTGTCAATGGCTGTCAGGTCAGGGGGATCCCCTCGTCTGAACCCGGAGCTGCGCTGGGCCACATGATGCCTCCTTTCCCATTGACGGGAGGTGCCATTGCAGAGGTTCTGCAGGGAGCCTGGGCTCTGCAAAGGGGAGCTGCTTTCGGCCCGTTGCCCCACCTGCCGCCGGGGCTGTGGGCTGCCCCTGGAAAAGTGCCCGGAGGGATCTGATGGGCACCTGCAGTGTCACACAGCCAAACCAGCCCACGCGCTCTGCGGTGGCAGGGCCTTCCCGGCACAGGGTCCAGGCGGCAGAGCTGGGCTCCCAGTAGTACACGGTGTTCAGCCAACGGGCTGAATCCTCGCCGCCCACCACGTAGACCCTTCCCTGCCAGCAGACGGCCCCAGCAGACTCGATGGCTCGGGGAAGTGCCGGGATGGCCACCTCCTGCCTCACTTTGCCATCCTCACCCAGGAAGAAGCACGCCCGGGAGGCCTGGACGTTTCCCAGGCAGGAAGCCCCCTCTCCCTCCTCCCCGAGGGCTTCGTCTCTGCAGCCCCCCACGACACAGATCCCGCCAGCCGTGGCGGCAGCGCCCGCGTGGCAGAGCCCCACGCCCAGCGGCACCTGAGCCCAGCTGTCCGAGCTGACGTGGTAGATGAGCAGCCCCCGGTGGGTGGCCAGGGCCCCCGCCACGTGCTTCTTCCCACCTATCAGGTAGAGCTTGTTGTGGAGCGCGGCCGAGGCGAAGTAGCTGAGAGGAAAGGGCAGGCGGGAGGCAGGAGCCCATTGCTTCTGCTCCAGGTCAAAGGTCTCTGCCGAATCCAGCTTGCCAGCCGCCTCCATGCAGCCCCCCACGGCGTAGAGCCGCCGGCTGCAGACCAGGAAGCCGTGGGGGTCCAGGGGCCAGGACATGGAGGGGAGCTGTGCCCACTGCCCAGAGCAGGCGTCGTATTCGTGCAGGCTGGTTGAAAAGCAGCCGTCCGGGCCGCAGCCCCCGGCCACATACAGCTTGTGGCCCAGGGCGGCGAAACCGGGGAACCGCACCGGAACCGAGCCCAACGGCGCCCCCCACCTCTCCGTGTGGGGGTCAAAACAGTTCAGGGGAGAATCCAAGTCCTCGCCAGCGGCATGGCCCCTCCGCGCCCGCCGCCCCACGCACACAATCACCTCCTCGTACATGCCCCGCCGGAGGCCCCCGCTCTCCCGCAGCCTCCCCTCCCCAGCCAGCTCCTTCAACCCCAGCCGAGCAGCCCCGGAGAGCTCTGCGACGTCTGCCTGCACCTCGGCCAGCTCCTCGGGGGTCAGCAGGGCCAGGCGGACGTGCCCCAGCAGCTCCGGGAGCAGCGGCAGGCGCTCGGCGGGGTCAGCCCTCACCCAGCGCCCCACAGCCCAGTAGACGGTCAGTTCGGAAGCCACCGCGAGGTCGTCTGAGGCGATGATGCCGATCAAGGTGCCGGGGTCCAGGCGCAGGAAGGCGTCGTCCTCGCAGAGAGACCTGAAGTGCAGGCTGACGTAGCGCCCGGCCGCGCGGAGCAGAGCCGGGTGCCGGTGGGCGTGAGCCAGCGCGTAGAGCCTGAGGCAGGTCTCCAGGGAAATGCTCTCCACGAGGAACCTGGCAGGGAGAGCCAAGGGGACACAGGCGCTGACTCCGTGGGCGGTCAAGGGCTGGAGCACCCATGGGGGAAAAAAACGAGTGGGTGCTCAGCGCTCACTAGCCACCTGGCTGCCGATCAGATGTTTGGCAGAGGGTGGGAGGTCTTGGGAGGAGGGGGCGGAGCAGGGGCAGGAAGGAGCAGGGCGAGGGCAGGCATTTGGGGAAGGGGAGGGGTGGGGACTGGGCCTCAGGATGGAGCAAGTATGGAGCACCCACCCAGATAGAAGAAAGTCGGCATCTGGGCAAGGGGAGCCCCGGACAGAGCCCAGCTCTCGCTCGAGTTAGCATGTTCCTTAACCTGGCCAAGTTGCTCAGCAGATCTGCAATGCAGTGAGGGCCCTTCCATCGGCCTGGGCTCTCAGAAGCCCGTACCGGGGTCCATCTCTCGCTCTCTACGCCAGAAACACGGCATGCTCGCAGAACGCTACGGGTGCAAAGTCAAGCACTCCCAAGTTAGGAAATGCCAGAATTCGGGGGGCCCATGAAACCTCAATTCAACCTCCTTGCGCATGAGCGTCAGGAGAGTCACTAATTACTCCCTAGGGCAGGTACAAACTGAGATTTTCAGTCTTAGAACGTGCCCAGATGTGGGCAGATTTTCAAAAGGAGCCCAGGCGAGCTCCCTGTAAAACTGCAAGTCCCTGCTCCAGGCAGGCATTAGAACTTCCCAATGGTTTGAGAGCTTTAAGCAGATCTCATCCCAAGGCAGATGGCTGGCCTGGGACATCTCAGCCCAAAGGGTTAAAGACTGGTGAAGTTATAAAGAGCTGAAAACAAGGGGCTTATAATGGGAAGTGTTGGGGGACCATAACTCCAGGGGGTGCTCCCGTCTCTGCCTGTAGAACTAGGGCACTCTGGGGATGCTTGGACAAGACCCAGTGCTGCGAGTCTGTGCTGAGACACGGGGGCTCTTGTTTGACATTCCCTTTTTATTCACAGACCACAAGAGCGGCCAGAATGGGTCAGACCAATGGTCCATCTAGCCCAGTATCCTGTCTCTGACAGTGGCCTGTGCCAGGTGTCCCAGAGGAAATGAACAGAACAGGGCAATTATCGAGTGATCCATCCCGTCTCCAGTCCCAGGTTCTATCAGTCAGAGGTTTAGGGACACCCAGAGCTTGAGGTTGTGCCCCCGGCCATCTTGGCTAACAGCCATCAATGGCCCTATCCCCCATGAACTTATCTCATGCTTTTTTGAGCCCAGTTATGCTTTTGGCCCTCACAACATCCCCTGGCAGTGAGTTCCACAGGTTGACTGGGCGTTGGCTGCAGAAGGACGTCCTTGTGTTTGTTTTAAACCTGCTGCATCTGCCCCGGCACTGCAAGATACCTCCCCCTCCCTGGCTGCCTGAGCCCACTCCTAGGTGTAACAGCAGGATGAGTCTCCACGGGGGCAGGCTGTGGGGTGCACACACCTGTCCCATTGAGAGCTGGGATGAGCCCCCCGCCTCTTTCCCCAGCGGCCAGCAAAGCGCTGCTGATGAGAGGGCTCCGCCGAGGGAGCTGGAGGTTGATGGCCGGGGTTTCCCAGGTGACGGGCCTGATTCTCAGAGGGCGCGTTCCGAGCCAGGCCCCTCTGAGGTGTGTCGAGTAGGACCCCAGAATCGCTAGTTGCTTTGGGTCCCGTCGGTCCCATTTCCAGCTCCTCAAGGCCCCCAGCCGTGCGGCCGCAGAGACCCTTCGTGCTGATGAGGCAGGCCTGGCTCTGGTGTGTTTCGTAGCAGCCAGGGAATACATCCAGCCCCTCGCCATAGTTCCCCCCACCCCACCCTCTGTCACCGCAGGTCCTGGGTCACCTGCTAACCGTCTCCAGGAGTGGGGGGATCTGGAGCCTGCTGGCCGTGACGAACAGCTCCTGGGCGTGCTCGGCCGTCAGCGCCAGCTCCTCCGTGTACAGATAGCGCAGGATGCTCTGGAGGACGGAGGGCGACACATCCTGCAGCTGAACCTCCCCACCCCGGGACTCCGCGGAGGCCATCCGGTCCCGTAAGTAAGGGCTGACCGAGCCCAACACCAGCCTGCAGGGAGAGAGGTGAGGGCTACTCGACCGGCTCCGGGCGTGGCACCATCCACAGCCTCCGTGTGCTGGTCACCGCATATGCCGGCGAGCATGGCGTCCCCCGGAGAGCCTGCAATCCCACCGGGGCAGCCAGGGTGTGGCTGGGGGGCGGGGATAAAGGGCCATCTGGTGCGTAGTGTGATGGGTTCAAATCATCTCACAAAAATACACCAACGTCCCCTTATCTCCCCAGCCACAGCGCCTTGATCAGTGCTGTGATCCCGATGCACTCCGGGCCCTGGCGGCACCAGGAGGGCCCTACGGAGTCATTCTGGGAGTGGCATCCCGTACAGCGGGTCGGGACCAGTCTCAGCTAATGTCACTGTTTGGATGGGAGACGGTCAAAGGAAAGCCCGGGGGCTGTGGAGAGGGGGCGGCATTCCCCTCGCCGTCCGCCGTACCGCAAGGAACCAGGCTCTCTCGGGAGACGTCCAAGGCCCTGACCGGGTGTGGGCTCCACAGGCACCAACTTCGCTCTCTGACCCCAGTGCAGTTTGTGGCACGGGCAGATGAGGGGAAACGCTCCACATTTTCCCTTGTAAATGGGGCAGATCTCACCAGCAAAGAGCCAGAATGCCTAGGGCCCCACAGGGCCAGCATGGCAGGTACTTTTCAGAAGCGAAATTTTGCTTTAAAAGCTGCCTTGCACAGATATCACAGATCCCAGGGGTCAGAGGGAACATTTTAGCCAAAGACACAGAGACAATCTGCTGTGGCAGCGCCGATTGCTTGGCACCCGCCAGCTGCTGCCCTCCACCCCAGAGGTGGCTGCATTTCAGCTCTGGGTAAAACAATCCTTGCAGAACCCTTGGGCCCCGCCCCCGTGCTGCTCTGGGCTCTCTGCACCAGGGCAGGGGCAGTGTCACCTTCCCAGGCAAAGAGCCCCTGCTGCCCCAGAGCTGCCCCGGGGTGTCTGGCTCTCCTGCCCAGCTCCTTCTAGCAAGGGGGAGCGCGGAGCAGAAACCCACCTGTGAGAGGGGAAGCGCCGTCCTGCAGCCACCAAGGCAACATCGCAGAGCTGCTGGGCCTGGTACAGCTCCTGGAAACCTGCAGGGATGGGGGGGGGGGGACACAGAGCCCAGGCTCCTGTTAGACCTGGGGGGGCAGCAGGGAGACAGCACCATCAAGAGGAGTTTAATGGGGTGGGGGCGTTGCCTCAGGGAGAGGGATGGATGGTGCCGTCACCGCCCCAGAGGAGCCAGAGGTGGTCGTTCCCGTCCAAAGGGCCATGTGTGTGTGTGTGACGAGTTTGGAAGGCCAGGCCAGGAGAGGGTCACGTGGCTCATGTTGGTCCTCTCCTGTCTGTAGCAGAGCCCTCCAGACTCCAGGGCCACCAGCCTGGCTCCGGCACTGGGTCCAGGGGGGAAACAACCCCTGGAAATGCTGTTCCCCTCCCAGCCGCTCCCGGGGCGCTGGCCGCGGCTCCAGCCTCTCCCCTGCCACAAAGGAGCCCACCGGGTACGGCTGCAACGCTCCAGAGCAGGGACCCATCCCCATTCCCATTGCCCTGGACAGCAGCCGACCTACCCTGCCGCATGCAGCGCCCCAGGGACACAGGCGTCGCTCTGGGGTCGGCCTCGGGCCCAGCCATCAGGAATCCAGGATCCCAGCCAGGGAACCAGGCTCCAGAGTTTCCAGGAACGAGATCTGCCTCGGGGGGGATCCGCCGAATCGGGGCCAGTCCTGCAGGAGAGTCCAGTCACCCTGCCTGGCCCCAAGACAGACAGCTCCTTCGACACCCCCTGAAGGCAGGTGAACACGGCAGCAGTGCCCTCAATACCCCGCTTCCTTCCTCGGTCCCATCAACTTGCTCCCTGCGCCCACCCATGGGCTCAGCCCCCGCCTCTCCCTGGGGATCCCGCACAGTAACGGGCAGCTCCTTGGATTCAGGACCGGACGTCAACTCACATAGCAACCAGCCTGGGCCTGGGCCTTGCTCAGGTCAATCCCCGGCTCCACAACACGGTCGCACAGTAGCCGCCCAGACCCCTTCGGGCGCAGACCCCGCACTCTCACTCGGGTGTTAGTGAGGGGCGGTGCCCGGGCAGAGTCAGGCGCTCTGGGTTTGCCCATGGGGCACTGGCGTTTGTGCCCACATTGCCCCTCGGGGCCACTCGAGTGATTGATTCTGGAGGTTGGGGGGAATTGGCCGGGCACCCGCCGCCTGGTCCCTTTGCACCCACACTTGCGCCGTCCCTGCTTGCTGGCACGAGGGCGTTGGGTGCCTGGACTGAATTCGCTCTGCGACGCTCCACCCTCATCCTGGGGCAGGCGGGCGGCGTGGGCCCATGTGCGGCCCTGGCGGAAGGCCCAGCGACCCAGCCGGTGGCAGGGATATTCCCAAAGCGGGTGCCCCTGCACCCCGTCTGGGCCCCTGGGTGAGGGGTGCTAGTCCTGACCCCAGCCCTCGCCCCCTTACCCAGCCCCTGCAGTCCCCTGTCTCTGCTGGGCCCCCTGCACCACCTCCCTCTAGCGCAGGAGGGGACGTAACTGCCCATCGCAGGCAGGTTCCAACTGCCCCCAATGGAGCCCCCAGCCTCACGCTGCCTGGGCAGCTCTTAAAGCACCAGGACCTCCCCCCGACCCCCCACTAAATTCACCAGGCACTGCCCCACCAGGCACCTGCCCTACACAGCCTGGACAGACACGGCAGAGAGAAGGGGGGAGCATGGTCACCCCCTTTCCTCAGAGCCCTCAGTGAAAGGGCTTGGGGGCCCTGAGGAGGGGATGCTGCAGGGTGGGGTGGCCCCAGGGCCCTGCAACTCTACACACCTGCTGCTCCCCCCAGGGGTGCTTTTAATTCATGTTATCCCCCAGACATGGGTCCATAGCCACACACCAGCCACTGGGTCGGAGCAGTCGGGGGCGGGGGAATGGAGGTGTCTCCAGCCCAGCAGATGCCCTGCCCCTGAGAAGGAGAAGAGCAAGAAGGGTGTGGCAGAGGGCGAAAGAGGGGGGAGATGCCTCTCCTACCATGCCCAGTGCAGGGGAGTGAGGGGAGATGACCAACACCTATAGCAGGCCCAGACGGGGTGGGGGAGGGGTAGTGAGGGGACCTGACCCCCACCCATAACAGGCCTAAATGATATCAAGTTAGTTTGACAGGCTCTATTTTCCATATCCCCTACTGATTGGCACTGATTATCTCACCCTCCTTTAGTTCTTCATTAACCAAGTCCTGCATCAGCTGCTCCACTATCTTGCTCGGGATCAATGTCAGGCTGACAGGCCTATAATTACCCAGGTCACCCCATTTGCCCTTTCTAAATATTGGCACAAGATTCACTTTCTTCCAATCTCCTGGAACTTCCCCCGTGCTCCAGGACTCACTGCAAATCCCCATTACTGGTCCAGGGAGATCCTCAGCCAGCTCTTTTAAAACTCTTGGATGAAAGTTATCTGGACTTTTTGATTTAAAAATGCCTAATTCTAGTAGCTGCTGCTTTAACACCCTCCAGAGATACGAGTGGAATGATGAGACTGTATCATCTGTTTTCCCCGCAATACAGAACAGAAACATTGATTGAACATGGGGTCTGCCTCTTCTGCATTCTTATTGATATTTCTACCAATAGTCCCCACCTCTCGCCCCTGTCTCACCATCTCACCACTCCCTGCTCTCCTACCCGCAAGTGGCTCAGTCCAGGGGTCGCAGCCACCTGGGCTAAAAACTCACTTGGTTTTACTAAACAAGAGCAGAGAATCCCAATCCCACATAATTACAAAGCTGTTTGCTTCGTCAATATCTAGGTACAAAACTTCAAAGTGCAGTTCTGATTTTAGACGTTTATTGGCAGGAGACACATGTTGCACCATCTGTGTGGGAATTAAATATTATAAATAAAATCCTGCCTTCTAGGTTGGTTTTTTTTTTAGGTCCACAGCATCACCAGAACCTTGAACAGCACTGCATGATAATTATAGAACAAATATGGTTTAAACTCCACCGTTAATAGCATGTTTTCATGAGAAGGTTAAGAGGCGACTTAAGTACGTGGGGAGAGAAATTCTGACAGTCGAAGACGGTTTAATCTGCAAGACAAAGATATAAGGAGATCCAATGGCTGGAAGCAAAAGCAAAACGAATTCTGATTAGGAATAAAGCCCTTTTTTAAAGCCAAGGTAATTAACCACCAGAACAACTTCCCAAGGGGCGTAATTGATTCTCCATCACTTGCAATGTTAAAGTCAGTGTTGGGCTCCACTTCAACCCGAAGTTAAGGACTTGGTACAGGAATAAAGGAATACAGACTGCCTTGCAGTAGGTCAGATTAGATGGCCATATGCTCCCTTCCGGTGTTTGAATCTATGAAAAATACTATGAAGATCAGCTGTCGCGAGACTCACAGAACCACTGAGGGTGGCAGCGTGACACCCCCAGCAGTCATGGGGAGGGCTGGGTTGGGATTGGCCCCCTGCCCCAGAGGCAGGTCGCCCCAAGAGAGCTGTGAAGCCAGGCACCAGCATTTTTAGCAGCCAGAGGTTACCATTGGCGACCTCTGGGTCAGACAGGCCCTGTCTGACTGATCTCGGCCCCAGACCCCAGCTTTGAGTTCCGCGTTTGAGGCAGTAACCGTTCATGAGGAGGCCTGGATTTGCTACCTTAACACCGGAGCTGCTGCAGCCATAGCTGTGCAGGGATAGGCCTCTCCCGGACAAGGGCCAGTCTCACCCAGTCGAGTTTGTAACAAGGGTTGTTCGCACACATCCCATTAACGCCAGTGTCACAACTGCCCCCCCGGCCAAGGGCTCAGCCTGGGAGCGGAGTCAGCCCTGTGGCAGCTGTGGAGGCCCCTGCTGGGGCTATAATCAGGATTTACCTGGGATTACTCTAACAAAAACTCCCTCCAGCCAGCTCCTGCCAACCTGACCCTCCTTTGGAGTCAGCCCAGCAGGGAGGGCTTGATCCTGCCACAGCAGGGGAGGGGCCTTATATAGCAGTGTGAAGAGGTGGCGTTGGGAGGAAAGGGGAGGAGTCACCGGAGGGGGCGGAGCTATAGCAGGCTCATAATTGGACCTGGCTGGGGGGAGCTTGGACCCCAGGTACAGCAGTGAGGTGAGGCCAGGCATCAGGCTTTGCAGACTCATCATGTCACTCGCACTCAGGCCCCATGTAATAAGGTCTCTCTGCAGCCCCGAGAGCGAGGAGCCTCTTTTCTTGTAACTGGAACAGAGATGCTGGAGCGTCTGAGCATGGGAGGCAGGGCACCGCGCAGGGCAGATCTGGCCCCAGGCCACGTGTCCCATCCCCGCCGGAGGGCCGCTGTCACAGTGGCTGCCTCACCAGCCCAACCCGAACTGTGCCAGGAACATCCCTGCCCCTTCACGGACACACATGGCCCTCTGCTCACCCAATAGGGTGACCAGACAGCAAATGTGAAAAATCGGGACAGGGAGTGGGGGGTAATAGGAACCTATATAAGAAAAAGACCCCAAAATCGGGACTGTCCCTATAAAATCGGGACAGCTGGTCACCCTATCACCCAACTGCAGCCTCTATGCTCTGAGCTCCCCCAGCAAGATCCTCTCCCTTGGGTGACTCCACCCATTTCTTTCCAGCTCCACCTCTTCACTCTCCTTTATAAGTGCAGAGTGGGCCCCTTCCTCCCCTATTAGGGGAGTCTGTCTGTCTGTCCTGGTTGGGAAGCTGCAAGGGCAGAGCCTGTATCCAAAGGAGAACATCTCACAAGTAGGAGTTGGCCCAGGGTGCACCAGAGATTTCCCCCAGCCCTGCCAAAATGGCCTCTCTGTCTACATTATGTGATGGGTGTATTTGCACAGAGACATCAACTGCAGCTTCTGGTCAACCCAATCTGGCCCCAAGCTGTGTGGTGGGGGGCAGGGTAGTACTGGTCTCTCCCCTTGCCGCTGCCTGCTCTGACTGTCGTGGTCAGGGAACCAGGGAGATGGGAGCCAGGAAGGCGACCTGCTCAGCAGCTGCCCCCATAGCTAACAGAATGCGAGGAAGAAACCAGTAGGAAAGGGATAGAGAAGACCGTAAATATCATAATGCCAGGGCTGGCAGGTTTGTATAATTTTGGGGGGTGCCCAGAATGGGTCCAAGTCCTGCCTCCCCCACACCTGCCTAAGGCTCTGGGAGGGAGTTTGGGGGAGGGAGGGGTGCGGGCTCTGGGAGGGAGTTTGGGGGGAGGGAGGGATGCGGGCTCTGGGAGGGAGTTTGGGGGAGGGAGGGGTGCGGGCTCTGGGAGGGAGTTTGGGTGAGGGAGGGGTGTGGGCTCTGGGAGGGAGTTCGGGTGCTGGGTGTCTTTGCATAGAGACATAAACTGCAGCCTGATATGACACTGTTTTAATGTCATTTACATGGAATATGCGGTTGTGACTTCCTGCTTCGTAGCTAATCGCTGCTGCTCTTGAAATCTGGCTGCAGACAAAGGCCTTAGGCTTAAGGCCTTACAATATGGCTAAAGGGAAAGGCCTTATCCTAAGCTTTCTATTGACTTTCTTACATGATACCTTTTAGATACAGGTTATGACATTAAGTTGGGGTACACTGAACGGGTCAGGCCAGTTGAAACTCACTAGCCAATAGCAGTGAGCCTCTTGCATTAGGATGCAGCTAGGGTCACAGGA